CTCATTCTTTCTGCTCCCTGAATGCAGTTTTCGAGAACCATAATGATATTTTAGCACATGTGCATGGCAACAGCCAAACAGAAAGAGAGAGCAGACAAATTCCTTCTCAGACCGCCGTTGTGAATTACTGATCAAGTAAAAACCCACTTGCGGCTTCAAAGACTGCAAACATCAGTGCTTGGAGAGAGCGCACAAAACCGTCCCTCGAAATAGGCACATCTATTTCTGTGGCGTTCTGGGTTTTTCGCAAAAGTACTGCCTGAACATGTGCAACGAGGCCCTCTTGTGCCCCGAACGCATGTGGGTAACATGGATTCTCTGGGGTCCTGTTGGACTATTGACTGGTGCTGGGATGCACTATTAAGACTGCTTACAAGAAAAGTAGGATGCTGGATGAGTTATATTTTACACTAAATATCCTGCATTCTGAGTCCAAAGAGCTCCTGTGAAAGGCAGGTGTTTTTGAACATTAATTTACTTTTACATTTTATTCACTTACCAAATGCTATTATCCACAGCAATGTCATAAAGCAAGGGTGTAACAGCTCATCCAATGAAGTCAAATGAACAACTGTACATACAATAAACAACAGACTACATCTGGACGTGTGTCAGTCAATCATCATAATAACTGTAATAACTAGTGCAATCATGAATGCAGACGTGCCACAATAAATTTCAACTGCTACGTGGTGATTAGGTTTGGTAGCAGCCAGTCATTTAAAACCCAAATCCATTCCAACACTACTCTGCGAACTGTATTCATCGGTGTGGATAGGTCACACCACTCAACAGTCTGACGCTGGTCACTGGTGCGTTCAAGTGCCAACACCTCATCAAAGTACACGTGTTCAGGCTCTGAGGCCTCAGGGTGGCTGTGTTCAGCAGAGCCCTTGCGTTCAGGTTCTAATGCTTCAAAGTGGTTTGTGTTGATCAGAGTCAATATGTTCCCACCCCTAATGCTTCACAGCAGGTGTGTTAATCAGTCAGTGTGTTCGGGTTCGAACAGCTGTGCTCACCAGGGTTCCGTCCATGATTCTGTTTCCCGTCTGCTGCTGCTTATTCCAAGACATTTCTCCAGAGGCCATTCAGAAAAACCCCAGCAGTGTGACATGTGTACTCACCCAACCCCCCACCATCTGCGCCCCCATCCTCCCCCATCCTCCACCGCGACCACTCTCCATCATGGCCACGCTGCGGTTTTCTGCCGTAACTACTTAAAGGGGAGTAAAAATAAACTGCAGAGACACATGTGCTTCTCATTTAAAGGGGTGGGGGACAGACCAGGGGTGCACGTTGTTATATGACTTGTTATGATTAGACTCAAACCCAGCATGCAATCTAGAGATTATTTCCTTCAAATGAGATGGTGGATGGTACGCTCAAAAGATGCAAATACAAAGAACAGAGGAGGAAAATGTAATTCTTTGGTGAGAGAAAATTCAAAAGATAAGTAAAAATAGAAATCGAATCCCACATAAAGATAATGTGTCCCACAAAAGATGCTATTCTTAACTGACAAATTCCACCTCATGAGTTGAACTTGGTCAACATCCAGATGTTTTGAATAACACAGAAAAAGATTAAAAATCTTGAAAGCTGGGTGAAGTTCTTTCAACGTCTCTTCTTCTTTGACCTGAAAAGCCCTCAGGTCGTAAGTCTGTAGAGAAGGGCACATTCCGAAAGCAGTTTTTATACATGTGGTTCACAAGGCCATCACTTCTATGCCAGAATGAATGAAATGAAAAAAAGTCTAACCCAGTGACTACTTAACACATTGAGCGTAGTTGTGCCTCATTGCTCAATGGCTGGATTACAGAACAATGCATTTATGGCAATGCAAGTATTTTATTGCATCATCGGACATGCTGACAACAGACAGTCATATCACTAGGGGCAAGGCCCGCCTACACTCTTCCGTATGTTCTGTGTGTAAGGTGTGCCCAGCCCTTCCTCAGTGGCATTGCCAGGGGAGCTTTTGTCACACATGCCACCATCTTCTGCCCTCCTCCAGCACGAGGGCAAAGAACACCCTGCCTTAAAGGTCTGTGACTCCCTGTTCCAATCCGATCTGTGTTACGAGTCCGATTTAATACAGCTTCTGTATGCTCGTTTTCATCTTTAAAGTAAAACATTACAAGTCTGTTAAAAACATTGAAAAGTAATAACGTATAAAGTAGTATGTTAGCATTGAAACGAATGCTCAGATCGATGTTTCCCCACACAATGCGGTCATGTTATTACAGTGTTCCCGAATGTAATCATGCGAAAACCCCAAAGCTCTCTGTGTGATTTGTAAACAGGTGCTTGTTCACAATGACCATGGAGTTCTTCTTTGTCAGAGACCAAAAGCATGCATGAGATTACTACTGAATGACAGCTGGCCCATGGTGTGGCTTCGATGAGATCATTCTTCAGGTTACCTCTCTCACCCATGGAGAGGCAGCCAGAGGAATGATATCGCTTAGAGATTGTAGAATATGACTCAGATCTGCTGGGGTGATGACACCAGGGTGGTGAGCTGTCATCAAGGGGCCATTAGCTGGACGGTCGTGGTTTTAACCATTTCCTCTTTTCTGTGGGTGTACGTGAGATAGGAATCTGGGATTGACTGATATCAGGTTTCATCAACATTGGTCCAATGCAAATAATTTAGCAATTAAGTGTTTCCGGCAACTGTTTCTGTTCTATCATATCATACCCTAACCTGCCTATCCCCCACACACACACACACACACACACACACACACACACACCAGCTACTCTTTCTCAGTGGTTTTCTACAATCAAAATAAGTTGTGCTATTAATACCCCTTGTTGAAATACAAAACCTGTTTAAAACAAAAGGCACTATATACAGTACATCTGTTTTGCGTTGTATTGTATTGAATGACACTGTCTTGATCACCGGTCCCCACCCACTGACACAGAGGAGAATGTGTAACTCCTGACCTTCTCTGGTCAAGCTCAGGGTGTGAAAAAACAGTAATGACCGAATGAAAAAAAAGAAGTGATGCATGATGTAACGTAGTAACAGAGAAACGAACATTCATGTTTGGGCGCCTCATGACTGCGGGTATTACAGCATGCTGCGAATTTCTCAACTTGGCACCAGAAATTCAAAGAAACAGGAAAGTCATTCTTTCCACTCTCATAGTTGTGGTCACTGACGGCTAATCAGTAAAGCAATCAAAAAAGGATTACAGTACGCTTTTCCCCTGAGGTCACTGCACAGTGACCTCAGTTTGACCAAAATAATAAGGTGACGTTCAGTAGTCCCTCCTGCCATGTTGAATTGTTTTGTTCCTTGTCACAGTGCACCGTCTTCCTGCCCAACATTCAGTCATCTGTGAAAGGCAATGAGGCAATCCCTCCCACCTGTTCTATGATACTGGCTGGGCTCTGCTGACCAATCCGATTGTTCTCACAGGACGTCTGGATGAGTCACCCAGTGAGACACGATGGCGTCGGTCACAGCGGTCCCACCTGCTGTAAAACTTAGCTCCTTATCACTGCAGCACTTAGGATTCTGGGAAATTTTCATATCATTCACTGCAAAAAAGATCGATGCTCTCGGTGACACGGTTTACAGCTCAATTACGACAACCCAAATGCCAAGGTTGTGTTTATTTTGCTGAAATGACAGTCTAAAACACTGTAATTTTCTCTAAAAAGCTATTGACTCATCTGTATTTTTTCTGTGCTTTATCTTTGAGAAGGAGCATAGTTTGATAAATATAATTTAAAAAGTAAAAGACTTAAAAACAATTAAAAATCCTGATGGGGTCAGGTCCCTAGACATATTTCCCCTTACAGTCCTCTGGGATTGGTCACAACCTGGGCAGCAACAGGGCATTATGGGTAAAAACCTAGGATTGCAGTGCTGTGCCCTTGAGAGAGGTACTTGTGTATGGACAATGTGTTAGCATGCATAAGGCTGTCTGTCAAGCAAACAAACAGCAGTAACACAGCCTCAGACACAAGGGAAGACTCTGCAAGGTTTCCACTGGGTTCCAGAGGTATCAGTGACCTGCTGAATGCTGCTTCCACATGGACCCCCTGATGTGTGTTTCTGGAGAGGTTCAATGCTCCACTTTAGATCACTGGAAGCACTCACCTGGATCATCTTTTCAGTGGCTGCCAGGGGCTACAAACCAGCAAGGCAGAGAACTTCCCTTTATTTGGTATGTATCCTGAACCTGATTTTAACTGCTGTACATAAATAATCATAATGGCAATTTACTTCAGGCTCACTTTTTAACAGATGATTCCTTTCTAGTTGATCTCGTCTAATATGTTGACATTCATTTTGTTCACCTTGCAAATTATGACTGAAAGACATCTGTGAGTCAAAGCAGATCTCTTATTTCTCTGTTATAATCAAAACAATTGAATGTAACCCAATCTCTTTGCTGTGACAAAGACTAAATGTGAGGCAGACAGTGGTACCGCATTGCTACAACACTAAACACAGTTAGGTAAAAGGGCATTAGCTACTGAATGGTGATCTTAATTTGAATGGTGATTTTTACTCAAGTTCAGGACAGGTACCAGAGGCATAAGTAAAGTCTCCGCCTCCAATATTTCTCGCTCACAGGCCCCCACCTTTTTCCCTCGTGTTACTGTAGATGCAGACTTGTACCCTTTTCACCTGCCCTAAAGAGATCATGTGACCACAATATGCAGTGTCCCAGCCTCTTGTTACTAACACTGGACAGGACTGGTGATGTCATTCAGCTATTGTCCCAGTATTTGCTCATCTACTGTATTTATAATACTCTCCATTATACTGTATATAATACTGATCTAGATCTGCCTTTTAGGATAACATAACAAACCAACTTATACAGGAGGACAATAGAGGGATTATATGTCAACGTAACAAAAGGTGACTCTAAATGCAGCCATTTCAGGGAAGCCACAACCAGGAGACTATACACACCAGGCAAGGCCTTTGGGATACCCTGGTGTCAGGAATGACAGTTACAGAGAAAATGGGTGGCAGTGTAGCTTAGTGGTAAGGAGCAGGGTTTGTAACCAAGAGGTTGCTGGTTTGATTCCATGCTGGGGCACTGCCACTGTACCCTTGGGCAAGGTGGCCTCACGACATTCCTCACAAACTGACACCACCTGCTCATAAGAAGCCTGGCCATACCTGTGCAGCCCTGAAAGCACATACAAATTTCCACATAATCAAAGCGTAAGGGTTGCGTTTGATGTGGTTTCAGAGGTACTTCATTTGGCTTAGAGTCCGTCAAAGGGATTGCAGCTGGACATGGATCAAGACTGTGACTCCCTGTGCGAACATCACGAACAGGGAAAGGAAAGGAGGAAATGGGAATTTTGTAGTCCTGGACTGGATTGGTTTGACTGGGTTTGGATATTTTTGTGAAGGGATTGTCTGTTAATCTTCCTCCTGATTCTTCAATGGAACTTCATTAATATTAATTAAAAATCTGTGTGGGTGGTTGAGGGTTTGCTATGTAAGCTATGATTAAGTCTGCGTGGGAACTGAAAGTATCTTTATAATAAAAATATCAAGACGATGCCAACATATAGAAAAGTAATGATAACACTTCTCAGTTCCAGATGTTGAAGGCAGCAGTGATGGTGATACCTTCAACATGCTCATGGTTGTCAACCACTGGTTTGTTTGAACCAATCAAAAGACAAAAAGAGGATGACTGATTCAAAATCAATGAGCCTCTGACAACATATGATTGCCAATTTTGAGGCTGACATAGCCTAATTCATATAGTTTCTTACAACAGTGCATCAGTGTCAGTTTGATTGCACTATTCAGTGGAGTATTCCTTTTATTTGTGTTCTTTTGTTTATTAATGTTAATATAACATATATTAATCTCAGTATATGGTAATGAGCTTGAGAGATGAGGAGGAGATGAAGTGGATGCAGGACAGAGCACAGGCAAAACCCATATCATTTCAGCAACATTCCTATTTCTTTGTAAACCTTATTACAGTATTACAACATAAATGCATAACATTTCTGCTGTTTCTGTAACATTGCAGTGATGTTATTCCATCGATCCACCCACAAAATCCTTCACGGGCGGCCCCAAAGCAGCAAAGCAGTGATAGTCTCCATGTCGATTACATTGTTGATTTCAAAACTCATCTTAACAGACATGAACACCCTTCCTGACGAACCCGTCAAGTGTCAGAGTCCACAGGGTATAATCAGGGCCAAATCATCCTGTTGGTATGCTCCGTCAGATACTTTTGGGCGAAGGTGTACAGTGTCAGCAATGTTGTAATAGAGAAAGAGATGGAACAGCCTCTCAGTCACCAGAGTCATTACACAGAGCCACCAAACCCAGTTTTGCTTTTGTGTTAAGCCTTACAGTGAGGATGTTTTTCAGCTCTCGTTCCATAACATCTACCCCTGTAAAAACAAGCAAATATATCAAAATACATATTTACATGACATCAAATTTAATGACTGAGATTATCGCTTCCAACCGTGTTGTACACATGTTTAAATATAAAATCCTCTACAGTTACAAATCATATAGTAGGGGTGTGCATATTCACTGGAGTATATCATGTGTTGGCTTGAAGCTTTTCTCTCAAGCGAAACGGTCTTTCCTGCTGCTGGAGTTTTGGAAAATCACCATGTGTTTACCACCACAAGCAGAAAATTAAGCTTGATTGACGGATGGAAAATTTGCATTGCAGCACCTTTTCACTGGACACAACTGAAATAATACAAGCAATGAAGTCACATCCCTCATGTAACCATGGAGAAAACACGCTGCAATGTGGTCTTGCTGGTAAAGGCTGTACACAACATGACGCACTCGGTTATTCTGTCAGATTTTTTTCCCACACGTGTTGCTGCATATGTTAGCTAAACATATCATTTTCGTCGCAAGCGGGTCATTTATGCCCTGTAAGTTCGTGTCTGAGGTTGAACGCAGCACGTAAGTCAGAGACATCAGAGTTGCGGAGGGGGAAGTGGACAAGCCTCTCGTGTGAATTCAGTCATTGTCCTCACAGCTGTCTGGATTTAATGCATCTCACAAACAATTGGCCTAGTAAAAAAAAACTACAGGGTTTGTAAATGCAGAACTTGGGCATCAGTTACATGTATGGATAGGCATGTTTACTTAAAATAATGATACCCTCTTTATGTTCAAATTGGATTTCAGCTAGGAAACTAGCGAGAATGAAAACACTATACTCGGGCACACTGGTTGTACCCAGTGGTATGGCATTGACCCCAGGCATCAGGAACAGCTCCTGTCAGCCAGACCCTGTATCCGAATGGTGCATCAGCTTGCTGACAACAGTAGGGAGTAGGGAGCAGCTGGTGCCACACCTCCTGTTAGACCAATGTCTTGCTGGAAGCAAAGAAGGGGTGTGGAAAACTGGTGTTAACTGACACAGCAGGGAATGAGTGCTTGAGGTAACACAGAGCCTCGCCCCTTGACGTTGTCATTGGATAATTATCAGCTGGCATGACAAATTTTAGATGACACAGCAAGGAGTTCCAAAGGGAACTTTCACTGAGCTCTCATTATGTTGGTAAAATCTTTACTTAATTAACAAATCTACCAGCATTTACTGTTAAAGAGCGGACTGCAAAACATGATTTTTAATGACTCTTCAGCATAGGGATATGCCTTCTTTAATATACCAACAGTAAATGTGCACTGAAAGGGATGCACCTGTTCAGGTAACGAACTATAGTAAGACCTGGTGCAACGTTTACTGTTACTACCTGCAAGTACAGTACTGACAAATAAATTGCTTTAGAGGTGGGAACCATGGGAACCATGATGACACCCTGTAGGTACAGCACTAAATCTGCCTTCATCTTGGTACAAAAATCAGTAACACATTCAGATTCTAGCATCTGTTACATGCTGCACTGGTGCATTTTACTACCAAAAGCAGAGAATATTCGCAATGATTCGGTCAAAGACTTCAAGCAGCCATTTGTTGAGTTGATGCTGTTGTTGTTTTTTTTTTTTTTGTAAGCACAACTTGTTCAGACAAGATGTCTAACATGATATAATACTTTCAGAGGGCCCTGCCAACTTCTCACCAATAGCATTTTGTTGTCTGAGATCAAGTCAACAGAAAAGAATGTTAAAGGTCGACACAAGTTGGCTGAGAAGGGTTCAGCCCTTTACTGTGTTTTAATTACTGAATTCTACTGAAGTCTTGCCATTGGTTAGTTTGCCTTCATGCAGTGTTTAAACCAGTATGAGCTAGAAACCGCACATATCCAGTCTATTCTAGCTCCTGATGGGATTATTATCATTATATTTATATGCTGTTTATTTGAACATTTTCTCATGAGACAATGAAGCTGTGGCACGATATTTTCTCTGCTACTGCAAAAACCATTTGATCATGTGATTCATATTGGTATTCTTTTTGGATGGAGGAGCCTTACACCTGAACCTTAATATGCTAAGCTCGATAATATCCTAACAAATATGCAGGAATGAAAAAGGTCTTATCATTCCCTGCTAGATCCTGATTAAGCCCATCATCTCATGAGGTCCAGCAGTACTGTACCCTTGGAAAATATTTCCATATATCTTTTTCTTGTAAATTATGGTTCCAGAATGCATCGTTTTTCCAGTGTTGCAGAAGTGCCTTCCTGTCTTTTTTATGATAGAAACAAATATAATAACAACAACATTCCAAAAGGGCTGTAATTTTCTTCCGGCTGGTGAAAAAGTTGTCCATTATGGTCAGGGTCAGGGAAGCGATTTTAGCCAGTCATCGGAATCTCATGGTTGGCCACATCAAAGGTCCCGTCTCTTGGCAAAAACCAACCAATCAGAGCAGAGAACCATGCCTTTTCTGTGCATTTGCCCCCAAACCATTTTGTCCTCTAAAATGACTGTGTATTCTCTTTAAATTACAGTTTGGGAATACCCTGTTCCTGTAATTTCAGTGTAATTTACCCACTGATGGGCACCTTAAACTATGCTGACATGAATCCACTGCATCTGAGGATGACCATTGTGAATTAAGTGGGCGATGCCTGAGGCAAGGGGTTATTGGCTTAATTTAGGGGGGCATTCAATCCAACCGCAATGCACATTATCTTTTGTCCACATTTAAGCAAGTCTTGAACTATGTTTTTGGTTAACTGTAGCAATTGCTGAACTCACAACTATGTGCGAAAATACATTTTATATTTTTAAAATCCATATTCAAAAATTTTAAACTTATATCTATTTATTAAAATCTAAATTTATATTTATTGCATAGCCATACAATTCTTTTTTTACACCTTACCTAACCACTGGGCACAAATCCAACACATCGCTGTTTATGAAATTGCATGTCACGCCACAACAGCCTGTCAGATTTTAATGATTTATTTTCTGCAAGTCACTGTGACCTGCGTTTTAAGTGTCAACCAAAATGCCAGATTTACTGTGTCTTGCTTGCTGCACAATACCATTCCAAAGCATTTTGTCTCTTTTTTTGTGTTCAGTTTTTTTATCAAGTTTTCCATGTAAACACAACTGACACACACAAACATGACAAAAGCACCACATTTGCCACATAATGTCTTGTATAAATCTCATGAAATATTGAAGAAGATAATATAAAAATATAATTTATATAAAACATTATCATACAGTTATAAAAATAAAACCAAGAATTTTTCCTCTGATTGAGTGATGGGCATGTCCATATAACCCCACCATTCCTCTGCTAATACCACAAAGATCAATACTATTTTACAGTTTACTTTATATTAAGATGACATTTCTCTGAACTCAGAGGGCTTTTAAAAAAATTTCCATCTGAGTCAAGTGTTCAAAAACTATATAAACCGTCTTGTTTAAGCCTCAGCTATACTGAATGTAATTTTCAAAGGGTGAGACAAATCTCTGAATTCTGTCAAGTAAATCTAGTAAGGACAAATGTGGATGAGTTAAAACTTAGTCCCACAGCCCCAAAGTTTATCCAAAATGGCTTAAATTACCCAAGAAAGCATGAATCCTGTTGATTAATGACTCAGATCACAACAGTTTACAGGAACTAATAACTATCAAAATTAGTGGTATGCGTTCCAGATCTGT